GGATCTTTTCACATGAAAACACTCCTCACAGAACTCATTTCTCGTAGGAAATTTCATCATGTATGAAGTAGTTTTTACTTAAGGGCTTGGGTCAAGTCACTGTCTTGCAGACTAACTCACTACAAAGGGTTGCTGTCAGAAGAAATTAGTAAAGCAAAGCAAAGAAAAGCATTTTGTACATGGATAAGAAATGATAAAATAATAGTAAGGTAAAGGGTGGCTGGCATGACTAGACACCGAGGCGCACGGAACACTGTTACCTTCCCACCGAAGTGGTATCTATTTATCTACTTGCAATTTCTTGCTTTCGAACTGCTAGGTTGGTAGGAGCCAGGGCCAGAGACGGGAGCTCACTCTGTCTTGTGGCACTCGGCTCTCAAACTGCTGAACTACCGACCTTCCAGTCGGCAGTTTGCATCTTAACCACCTGAGCCACCACAGCCCTTGATAAAATAATAATTCACTTCTATTCAATAGGCAATAGAGAGGACTTTACCCTTTGCTTACCTTAGAGAGTGATGACCTGAAGTATAATCTATTTTTCCATATTTCTGTGTATAGTAGCCATATTTTTCCATGAGGTCCATCCACGTTGTATAATTTGGATCTAAGCCCTTGAAGTTATTCCAGGATTCTGTTAAGTGATTGAAGAGACCACTCCACATAGCTGAAAAACACATTTTCATTTGAACTTCTCTGTGCTGTTATTTCTGTGTGTCTTTCCTTGTATTGTCTTTCCCTGTATTGTATTTTTTGCCCTTTTCCCTCCCTCTTTTGGAATCTAACCGCCCTTTCCCTTTTTTTGTCTCTCTTTTATAAGAAACTTTTTCTTATAAATACTTTTTTTTTCTTTGCTTGGTACAGTTTATTTCTCTGGGATATTTTTCTTAATCTCGTCCTCATGTAGACTGTACAGGTGCTACAGGGCTGGTTATATGGTTATACACGGGATCTATTATGTTTCCGCAGGGCTTGAAAGGCAGAGATGTTCGGTTGAGGACAGCGGCAGGCATTCAGTTGAGGACAGCGACAGTACAGGATGAGGGTCTGGCACTCTCATACCCCTCCACCCCATATCCCCCCCCCGGGGGGGGGCTGTGAAAATGTCATTGTTAAACTACTTTCTGCCATCCTGAGCTTACTATTTTTACGTATTAACTGTTATTTATTGTAGGTTTTAACTTTTAGTTTTGGTAGTCTTATATTCTGCGGTATTTTGTTATATTGAATTTTATTGTAAGCCACCCTAAGCCCTGCTTGCAGGGAAGGGCAGACTAAAAATCAAATAAATAAATACATTTTTTAGGGTTTCTACCCTGTCACTTTGTTATTGTTCTAGTACTGCGCTGGAAGACTGTGTTTGCAATGGGTCAGTCTAAATGGCCATTACAGCAAAAATGCATCCTATGCCAAGTTAAGATCCTGTACTGTATTGCAGGTTCTGAGTACCAGGTGCCAGAAGTCAAGCAAGGCAGGATTCTTTAGTGCAAGGTAAGGATTCCAGAAGTTGGGCAAGGCTAGGGTTCCCAGTTCCCGGCACGGGTTCCCCCAATTTTGGGGGCTTCTGCCTGCTGCTGGCCATCTGGCCGGCAGGGGAAACCCCACTCCCAAACAGCGATGTCGCTGTGTGATGTCCCTGACACAATGACATCACCTGGAAGTGATGTCACCACGTCAGGGATGTCACGCGACAATGCTCTGGTTTGAGGGCAAAACTCTATGGCATGAAGCCTGTTTTACCATAGAGTTTTGCCCAAAAACTAGAGCATCGCTGCACAACATCCCCAGCATGATGACATCACTTCCAGGTGATGTCATCATGTCGGGGATATCGCAGAATGCCCCCCAAATCCACCCACCGGTGCAACAAGGGGACCTGGCAACCCTAGGCAAGGCAGAGTCATTCAGTCAAGGCCAGGATTTCAGAAGTCAGGCAAGGCGGAGTCAGTGGTTTAGTGTCTATTGTACACATTGCGTCCACGCCTAACAGCCTCCCTTGGCTGTTTTTATAGCCCCACACCTAAGGGCCACGCTTGCAGCCAGCTGCTCAGAAGCAATGCCGGAACCACTCATTATCAGCAAGCAGCTGGTGTTGGGCCAGGAGGTGTGCACTTTGCCATCTTGTCTGTAGCTCTGTTCTCAGCCTCCATCTGCAGCACGCTAAGGGTATAGGTGATACTGGAGGGCTGGGAACAGCCAACTGGGGTTCACCTGCTGAATCAGGGCTGGAGGGTGTCAGTAGCTCTGTACCAGCTGTTGGCTGTGAATCCCTTTAAGCCTGCAGCTCATTTTCCTAGAATTATAGAGTTGGAAGGGAACTTCAGGGTTATCTAGTCCAACACCCCGCACAAGGGATTTTATTCTGTTTTGGAATTTTATTCTGTTTTGATGGAATGTTACTCTGTTTTGTGTAAGTTGTCCTGAGCTGGCCTTGGCTGGGAAGGCAGGGTAAAAATTTAATACATCAAATCAAATCAAGGCAGGAAATTCGCAAATACTTCCCCTTCCACACACCCAGTAACTGCTGTTTCATGCCCAGAAGTTGACAAAAAACCTCCAGGATCCCTGGCCAAACTGGCTGAGAGAAAAAAATGCTTCCTGACCCCAAAGTGGTAATCAGCATTTCCCTGGGCATGTAAGAAAGGGCCACAAGAACTAAGCACTGAGGCAATCTTTCCTACCCTCCCACTTGTGATCTGCCTAAGTTCACAGTTCTCTGTCTCTCTCTCTCTCTCATATACCTGGAATAAAATGTTTTTTTTGGTCTTAAACAAAGGACTCTTCCCCCCCGTACCTGGAATAACATGTTTTGGGGTCTTAAACAAAGGACTCCTCCCCCCATACCTGGAATAAAAATGTTTTGGGGTCTTAAACAAAGGACTCTTGCTCTTTTTCTGGGGTGCTCCCTCTTGGTCCCTCCCTCCCTCTGAAGAAAAAGTGTGGTTCTACCTGGAATAAAACATTGCCGGTCTTCTGAGAAGTTCCATGAAACACCATTTTGGCACCCCTGCTTTAAGTAACAACCTTTCCAATACTTAAAGAGAGCAATCATATCCCTCCCTCAACTCTTCTTCTCCAGACATTCCCAAGTCTAAACATTCCCAGGTCCCTCAGCCTTTCCTCATAGGGCTTCGTCTCCAGGCTCCTGATCATCTTCATTACTCTTTTCTGGACCAACTCCATTCTATCAACATTGTTTTTGAAATATCAGCTGCTCTCGGGCCAGATTGCAGACCTTCGCGGGCCTGATTCGGCCCTCAGGCCACACGTCTGGCACCCCTGCTTTAAGTAACAACCTTTCCAATACTTAAAGAGAGCAATCATATCCCTCCCTCAACTCTTCTTCTCCAGACATTCCCAAGTCTAAACATTCCCAGGTCCCTCAGCCTTTCCTCATAGGGCTTCGTCTCCAGGCTCCTGATCATCTTCATTACTCTTTTCTGGACCAACTCCATTCTATCAACATTGTTTTTGAAATAAGGCCTCTAGAACTGCACACAGTACTCCAGGCACGGCCTGATCAATGCAGTGTACAGAGGGACTATGACATCTTGTGATTTGGATGTTATGCCTCTGCTGATACACCCCAAGACCGTGATAGCTTTTTTGCTGCTGCATCACACTGACCACTCATATTAAGCATACAGTCCACCCGTATCCTAATACCTTGTTCACATACTCTGTTACCCAGAAGTGTATCCCCCATCCAGTTTGCATGCTTCTAATTTTTATTACTCATTATTTCTCATTTGTTACTCACGGAAAAGAAGGGCAAGCATTATACACTGTATATGGTGAGTACAGAGGCAGATATGGCCAAAGTCTAAGCATTCATCTAATCTTTTGACATCTGCTATGACAAATTACTACTTTAACAGGCTCTGTTCAGGTATTTATTATCTGTATGATCTTACCTGCACGGGAAGGACAACATATTGGAGAATTGGTGTAGGCATTAAGAAAGAGACTGCCATGTCTCTCCATGAGATTTATGAAAGGCAAGGCTACTGTCTCATTTTCCGTGTGAAATGTCAGCCTTCCATCCTGCAAGTTGAGTGGGCAAATTGTAGAGACAAGTGCATTATGAGAATGATTCACATTTCATTTTCCAGCAAAAGAATCTAAGCAATATTTCAAACCATGCTGTAAATTGTCTACTACTAGATATCCAAGAGAGAGATATTTTGCAGGTTAAATATTTTATTGAAATATATAATTTTTAAGGACACACAATGACTGACAAACACCAACATAATTTTTAAAAATGCTCTAAATGTGTACATGGAGTAAATAAACACATAATTTTCACATTGCTCCTCTTGCTATATACACCTTTTTCATACAGGATCCTATACTTGTAGTCTGGATGAAACGGAATAAATTTATAGCCATATAATAATAATAATCTATAGGATTAGATTTTGAGAGTGAATGAACAGTAGCAGGGCATAGACCTGAACCTAACACACATCAGAGAGACAGGTTTTAGCCTGGTCTTCTCCCTGACATGCTGCTTTTCTACACACAGTGAGTAGAGGGTGCATGCTGCATTCTAATACCCCACATCCCTGAAGCAGAGCAGCAAAAATTGCATTATCTTGACCCTGCAGTTTGATTTCAACATGATTAAACATAAGTTGTTTATAAATAAGCCAGTTTGGTGTAGTGGTCAGGGGTCATTTTGTAGAAAAAGAGGTGCAGGAGCTCATTAGCATAACTCATTAGCATAACTTATTTGCATATGCCACACCCCATGACTTCACCGGAAGTGTGTCAGAAGGCAACACCCACTGCTCAGGCTCCACTGGACTGTTTTGGATTGCTAGCTATTGGGAGGGGGAAACGTGCAGATCTGTCTTCGCATAGGAGGGAGAGCTTGTACCTGAATAAAACTTGGTCTTAAAGGTGCCACTGGAATGTTTTGGACCGGGGGGGGGCGGAGGGGGGGGGCTCTGCAACTTACCTGGCTGCTTCTTGCTCTGACTGAGGGCTGCTGGGAACAGGGGGTGGGGCTTGTTGCATGTGCCCGTCCCCTGGGCTCTTTACTGCTGGAGCTCCGCTCCTGTGCGCTCCTGCAGGAAATGACCCCTGGTAGTGGTTAAGTGTGCGGACTCTAAAATGGGAGAACCGGGTTTGATTCCCCACCCCTCCATTTGCACCTGGCTGGATGACCTTGGGCAAGCCATAGTTCTGATAAGAGCTGTTCTCGAAAAAGAGCAGTTTCTGTCAAGAGCTCTCTCAGCCCCACCTACCTCACAGGGTGCCTGTTGTGGGGAGGGGAAGGGAAAGGAGTTTATAAGCCGCTCTGAAACACCTTTGGGTAGTGAAGGGCGGTGTATAAATCCAATCTCTTCTTCTTCTTCTTATGAACAACAGCATAAACTAGTTGCTCAAAATACTTAATTCCAAATTATTTACAAGCAAGTTGTGAATGTGACTGTTTTTAATAATGCTGGCAAAGAAGACAGTGCAATCCTAAACTTGCTTACTAAGACATAAGCTCCATTGAACTCACTGAGTCTTACTCCTTAGTAAGTGTGTTTTGGATGGCACTGCAGCCAGAGCAATATATGGGTCAGACACACATTGGACACCATAATTCAGATGAATTGTCTCTTAATGAAAACTCGCAAGCAACAATCATCACTTGTGCTAATATTCTCATCTAGAGAAGTCCTATTTCTAGTCTTCTACTATGGTTCTCAACTCCAGATTGGAAAATTCCTGGAGTTCTGGGGAGTGGAGCCTGGGGTTTGGATAGGGGAAGGCTCCCAGGTCTGCGCCCAAGATGGGTAATTAGAAGAGTTACAGCACTGATGTGAAACTGATGAACTTGAGGTCATTCGCAAATTCAGAACAATAGACACCCCCCTCCACCCCCCAGGGCTGAATAGAAACATAGGATTTTTATCTTACTACAAATACTAATTTTCTTCTCCCAAGCATTCCCCTCTGCTCTAATCAATCTGATTACAATATACATTGTACCTTGTATCCTTTATAAGCATTATTTACAACATCTCTCTGACCTTCTGACTAGGATAAAAGGACTCAGATATCCACTTCCATTCTACTGTGTCTGACAAAGGGAGGTTGGTGGTGTCTAAGGTGCTACTGGACTCAAATCTAACTGTTTTGGAGATTAGTTGTAATTCTGGGAGATCTCAAGGTCCCACCCGGAGGATGGTAACCCGATCTTCCATTCTGAAATGTTCTAGGCAAGCCACTTCATCTTGACTGTATATGAATGTCGGTTGGAATTGTTATAACACTGGTTCCTAACCTTTTGGATATGATGACCTACAAGTCCAAATTTGCATGGTATGGTGACCCATCCAGGGCTGGTCCAAGTTTTTGGGTGCCCTAAGCAAACTATGACCTTGGCACCCATATAGCATTCCATTATCTACAGTGGCTAACCAGATGTTTTTGAGAAACCAACAAATGTTGCACAAAGGGAGTAAATGTTCCCAACTGAGAGCCAGTTTGGTGTAGTGGTTAAGTGCGCGGACTCTAATCTGGGAGAACCGGGTTTGATTCCCCACTCCTCCACTTGCACCTGCTGGATGACCTTGGGCAAGCCATAGTTCTGGCACAGCTGTCCTTGAAAAAAGAGCAGTTTCTGTCAGAGCTCTCTCAGCCCCACCTACCTCATGGGGTGTCTGTTGTGAGGAGGGAAAGGGAAAGGAGTTTGTAAGTGCTCTGAGACTCCTTTGGGTAGTGAAGGGTGGGGGTATAAATCCAATCTCTCTTCTTCTTCTTCTGTGAACCCAAAGCAAATGGCATTCTAGCATACATATCCTTTGCACAGGGAGGTTACATTCCAGGCTCTGACCACCCTCTCCTTCTCTATTACTCCCTGTAATCTCCCACTAAAATTCTAAGAAAATTACTCTAGTAACCCACAGGACACATTTTACTTGATCAACATGCATATGCAGCGAAGAAAAAATATGTAATCTAATGTATGGAAGATACTGTTCCCAGGATCACATCTTGGTTTCCAAAATACAAAAGACAGCAGTGGAAAGGGCATGGGGGGCATTAGGAAGGCCTGACCCACTTTCAGAGACTTTGTGACCCACTTTTGGGTTCTGACCCACTGGTTCGGAAAAACTGTGAAATTCTATTATTCTTTTAGTTGTGCTGGTAGGACCTCTAGTGCAAAGAGAGACAAACTGTTTACAAGTTAGCAATCTGGAAAATGCCCTGGATAGCCCAAAGTAGCCTCATCTCCTCAGATCTCAGAAGCTAAACAGAGTTGGCCCTGGTTGGTATTTACATGAGAGACCACCAGGGAATACCAAGGACTCTATGCAGAGGCAGGCGATGGCAAGCCACTTCTGAATGTCTCTTGCCTTGAAAATCCTACCAGGTTGCTATAAATCAACTGTGACTTGATGGCAAAAACAGAAGAAAACCCTTCCCTACTTCTCTTCCCTGAATAGACAGAATACTCTTGCAAATGAACATACCAAAAATTATTTGAAGGGGGGGGGGACCCTGGGTACTCTTTTCACTGTAGAGCATAGTCTGACAGGAACCTCATGATGCAGAGGTGGAGGGTCTTGTAGCTGGCTTTACACTACCCCACATGAGGTTTTCTTTCCTTCAGACAGGGGCACTAGAAAGCAAGATTCTCTAACTATTTGTAAGCATTAAGTACTTACGAAGGAATCGCACATCACAATCACAACGTTCAATTTTCCACAATCTCTACAACTACCAGTGACGAGCAGAGGTTTCGCCTCCACAGTCTCCCAATAGACAAAAGGTTGGAACAGAAGGATCAAGGCAACTACGGTCGTAGAGGACATTTGTTTTCTGCTCTCCCTGCTCATTTCTTCTTTAAGAGCCGATAAAGGTCTCAAGGGACATCCGTGCAGAGCTTCAACCCTCCTCTCCACACAGCTAAAGCATCACGCGTGCTTCTGACTAATGACAAACTCGGCCTCATCAGAAGAAACTACGATTCCCATGATGCATAGCGACAAAGAAAAAAATGAGTTGAGAGGAATGTAACAGTATTATTGAAAGGAGAAACGACCAGGTCAGTGTCAGTGTTGGTGTTATTGCGCCTGGATAGCTCCGGGTTCCTGGCATGCCAGCGGGCTCTTCTTCTGGCAGATGGCTGATGCAAATCGTCCGGACGTGGCCGAGCGTGAACCCGGAGGAGACCTGGGCCCTCAAAGACCCGCTGGCAGTCTCAGGACCACAAGTGAAAATGCAGGTCGTAATCTGAAGGAGTGGTTGAAGGAGCAGTTCTGTGATCAGCCAATCGAGAACTGTCAGGACACCCGACTGCACGATGCTGCCTACGTGGGAGACCTGCCAACCATTCAAAAGCTGCTGCAAGAAGACAGCTTCCAAAGTCGCATCAATGAGAAATCGGTGTGGTCTTGCGGTTGGTTGCCTTGTACACCCCTGCGGATTGCTGCCACAGCCGGACATGGACACTGTGTCGAATTCCTGATTCAGAAAGGAGCAGAAATCGATCTTGTGGATGTGAAGGGACAAACTGCTCTCTATGTAGCTGTCGTGCATGGCCACCTAGAATGTGTGCGCATCCTTCTAGAAGCTGGAGCTGACCCCAATGGGAGCCATCACCACCGCAGCACACCTGTGTACCATGCTGCCCGTGTGGGAAGAGCTGATATCCTGAGAGAACTAATAAAATATGGTGCCAATGTGGATGTGAATCACCACGTGACCTCAGCAACCTCTAGCCCTACCTTCAGACCACTGACATGCCTGGTGGTTTGCCCTTTGTATATTAGCGCAGCCTATCACAACCTTCAGTGCTTCAAGGTGCTGTTGGAAGCTGGAGCCAACCCAGATTTTAATTGCTGTGGTCCAGTAGACATCCAGAATTTCTCCAGAGGCTCTGCAGTGTGCATAATGGATGCTGTCTTACGACACGGTTGCGACAAGGCCTTCGTCAGCCTCTTGATTGACTTTGGTGCCAACCTGAATCTGGTGAAATGGGAGACCCTTGAAGAAGGAGCTCCAGGAAGGATTAGAGTGAACTCAGAAGGCATGCAGATGTTCAAAGAAGCCAAAAGCTGTCCCAGGAGATTGATGTCCTTGTGCCGTGTGGCAGTGCGGAGAGGCCTTGGCAAGTGCCCACTGCATCTAATATCTGCTCTTCCTCTTCCAGACCCTATTAAGAAATTTTTACTTCATGAACAGTGAGATTTACATTTCTACATGGCAGGACTGTTTTCTTTGCTTTTGTTTTAAGTGATCTGCTGAAAATGGGAAACTTTCTAGTGCTGTTCAACAATATACAGCATTTGGTTAATATGTTGTCACTACTTAATCTTTCAAGTTTGCACAGTGGATTTCAGCAATGTTATATCCTGATGAATCTAATACGATAATTTCCTAAGAAAGATGGCTGGATAATTTAGTGTAGACTTGTATTTATTCATTTTTATTTATTTTTGAACATGTAGCTGGCAGGGCAAGTTACTGTATTCCACAGTGGAAATTTGTTCTGACTTCTGGAGGGTCACAAGGGGAGTGGGGAGAGAAAAGGCAAAGTGTGGTAATCAAGTGAGTAACGGTGAATGAAAGTATGGACTGGTAATTTCCATTTCATTGTATCTGAGGAAGTGTGTGTGCACATGAAAGCTTATACCTTGAATAAAACTTTGTTGGTCTTAAAGGTGCCACAGGACTCAGATTTTGTTCTGGTGAATGAAATTGTTTATGTGAAACTGCCTGAGCTGGCTAACAGCATAAAAATAAATAACTGAAAGGTCTGTGAGTGTACAATAAACTTTATCACTTAGACAAAGAAAAACAATCTATAGCTTTTAAAATCGTCATCACAAATAGGTCTTTTTGACGAGGAGAACTACCGCTCACATAGCCCTAACACATCAACTTCTGTCACGCCAAACTAGACATTAACAGAGGATAAAGTTTGCGTGGTATAGAGTCGACCTAGAAGAGGCTGTCGAACTATAACTCCCAGGATGCAATGCGATCGGAGATGGATGTTGCATCATGGGGAATCAATACGTCGTGACTCCCATCATGCCGAGGAAAAGTTATCCGTTGAACTACAGCTCCCATCACATATCGCGGATCGTCCAGATCGTGATTGACAGCCATTCGACCATAGGCTTTTTACGTCGTCAAAAGGCAGAGAACGGCTAAGAGAAAGTACTGCAGGCGCATGCGTACGACTAAAGAGTGACGGTCGATGGTTGCTGGAGTTTGCCGGTTAGTGGGGAGGAGGGCGGGGGGTGATAGCGGGTGTGTGTGGCTGTTACGTGACCCCGGGCTAAGACTTCCTCTGAGGGCTGTTCGGACCCTGCCACCGCTTTTGGTCTTACAAACGCAGTGACCCGATTATTTGAGAGGGGCTGTGACTTTGTTGGGGAAACGGGATGGAAGAGCTAGTTTAAGTCAGAAATGATGAGGGGTCTGTTCCGCAATAGTAAATTTAGTGGCACTCACTCTCACTGGTTCAATAAATGATAATCTGGCGTTGTGTAGGAAACTGAGATACGAATCTGGGTGGCCGAAGTTCCAAGCCTCGATTTTGCCATGAACTATGCCAGTCACCTGTGTCACACCCCCCCCCCCCCCCCGTGTTAAGGTAATAATGCTGATACAGGCTTGTGAGAACAGCTATTAAATACTGTATGTAGTCTGCTTTGAACTCGCTAAATAGTGGTAAGAGTTATTAATTAAATAGTATTACTGATTTATGCTGACCCCCCAATAATCTAGTTAGGAGCTTCGCTACTTAAGTATAAACCAACAATGATAAAAAGTCTATCTCTTTGACTGCTTCTTAGCCACTTGATTTCTCAAAATTGTGAAATGGCTTTTAGAGATAACTGTTACCTATTATCTATTTAGGTGTAACGTGTAACTATGTTAAATAATCTTGCACGTGTGCTGGAGCAAGAGAACACATAGGAAGGTAGAAACTTTTTGCTGTAGTATGGTGATTGCCTTTAAAAACTTCAATACCAAATTGTGCAAGCCAGCTCATGTTCTCTCATTGTCATTCTTGAAGTTTATGGATGTCACCTGTAGTTTTGGTTAAATTGTCCCTGCTTGTAAATTGGTATGTGTTTTACTTGATTGTGTAAGGAGTAAGAAAACAGCTCTGTAGCTGTCTTAGTGTGATCACTGAGGACTTACACTGATTCATGTGAGGAAACTGGATCTCTGGGAAGCTTAAGAACATAAGAGACGCCAGTGTTGGATCAGGCCAAAGGCCCATCCAGTCCAACACTCTGTCACACAGTGGCCAAAAATACCAAGTGCCATCAGGAGGTCCACCAGTGGGGCCAGGACATTAGAAGCCCTCCCACTGTTGACCCCCCCCCAAGCACCAAGAAGACAGAGCATCACTTGCCCCAGAGTCCCTATCTATAGGTAAAGGTAAAGGTTCCCTTGCTCGAAAGCCAGTCGATTCCGACTCTAGGGTTGCGGTGCTCATCTCCGTTTCAAAGCCGAAGAGCCAGCGCTGTCCGAAGACGTTTCCGTGGTCATGTGGCCAGCATGACTAAACGCCGAGGCGCACGGAACGCTGTTACCTTCCCACCGAAGTGGTACCTATTTATCTACTTGCAATTTCTTGCTTTCGAACTGCTAGGTTGGCAGGAGCTGGAACTAGAGATGGGAGCTCACTCCATCATGCGGTACCCGGGTCTCGAACTGCTGAACTACTGACCTTCCACAGCCTGCAGTTCAGCGCCTTAACCACTTGAGCCACCGCAGCTCCTGTCCCTATCTATACCTTGTGGTTAATAGCCACTGATGGACCTCTGCTCCATATGCCTATCTAATTCCCTTTTGAAGCCGTCCATGCTTGTAGCTGCCACCACTTCCTGTGGCAGTGAATTCCATGTGTTAATCACTCTTTGGGTGAAGAAGTACTTCCTTTTATCCGTTCTAACCCGACAGCTCAGCAATTTCATGGAGTGCCCACGGGTTCTTGTATTGTGAGAAAGGGAGAAAAGTACCTCTTTCTCTACCTGCTCTTTCCCATGCATAATCTTATAAACCTCAATCATGTCACCCCTCAGTCGTCGTTTCTCCAAGCTAAGGAGCCCCAAGTGTTTTAACCTTTCTTCATAGGGAAAGTGTTCGAATTCTTTTATCATTCGAGTTGCCCTTTTCTGCACTTTTCCCAAAGCTATAATATCCTTTTTAAGGTGTGGTGACCAGAACTGCACACAGTATTCCAAATGAGGTCGCACCATTGATTTATATAGGGGCATTATGATATTGGCTGATCTGTTTTCAATACCCTTCCTAATAATCCCCAGCATAGCATTGGCCTTTTTTATTGCATTCACACACTGTCTTGACATTTTCAGTGAGTTATCTACTCACTGAATCTCTCTCTTGTTCAGTCTCTGCCAGTTCAGGCCCCATCAATGTGTATTTATATTTAGGATTTTTGGCTCCAATGTGCATCACCTTGCACTTGGCCAAATTGAACCCCATTTGCCATGTTGATGCCCACTTGCCCATCCTTGACAGATCCCTTTGGAGTGCCTCACAATCCTCACTGGTTTTCACCACCCTGAACAACTTCGTCTCATCTGCAAATTTAGCCACTTGACTGCTTACTCCCAACTCCAACTCATTAATGAACAAGTTAAAAAGCAGTGGACCAAGTACATTAGCTACCTTCCATTCCTCAGGAATGGAGGCAGATTTTAAGGAAAGATTACATATTTTTGTCAGGAGATCCACAAGTTCACATTTGAGTTCTTTCAGAACTCTCAGTTGTATGCCATCTGGGCCTGGTGATTTATCAGTTTTTAAGTTGTCTATCAGTTTTAGGACCTCCTCTCTCGTCACCTCATATAACCTCCACATAACCTCAGCTTCCACATAACCTCAGCTTGATCTCTAGGGATCACCACAGAATCCTTCATAAACACATTATTGAATTAGAATAAAGCATTAACTTCTGAATATCTCATTCAGTGTTAAAAACAGTAGCGTTTGTTTATGTTATGCAGCATTCACACATATGCTTTGCTCCACTTTCACTTCTTTGCAGCAACACTGTTTTGGGGAGCATCTGTACAAAGTCATCATCTATTTGACCAGTTTCCCCTGCTTTGGTGTGATCTTTCCCACACCCAGTTTGGTATGATCTCTTTGGAGAGGTCATGGTCAAAGCACCTTTGCATTCTATGTGAATGGTGTGGTGCATATTTGTACAGGTCCCTCCCACGTTAGTGCCACTTCCTTTGACTCAGCCCCTGCATGGCACCTGAGGGCTTTTTCTTTGTTTCTGTTTTTTTGGTAACTGAACTGAATTTTCTTATGTCAATTACCATTGTTTTAGAAAGCCCCACACCCCTTTGGGGAAAGAGCAGCTCTGGGATGCTGAGACAAAGAAAGTGTATGTGGGGAGCATCTGTTACGTGGATAATCCACTGGTGCTGTGAATGTGTCTGCAGTCACAGTGGGAAGGACAGCTACACAGACAATCACTGCTGTGTGGATGCAGTATGTTGAATCAGCTCAAGATGCCCCTCACATAAAAATAATAAAACTATGAGACAGCTGGCAGTGCTCATGTTGATGTAGGTTCAAGGAGAGGCTGATTTAGTGACTAGAGTAAGAGCAGTGCTATGCCATATTTCATCTGTGGTATTGCTGATGGTTAAAAATGTTATGGAAAAATTAGGTCTGAAATATCAGTTCACAATATGTCTGAGTATATTTTTTCTGATTTTGTCCTGATAATTAAGAAGCTATTTTAGTATGTATTGACATCTAAATGGAAACATAGAGCTGGAAGGGATCTCAAGGGTCATCTAGTCTAACCCCCTGCACAATGCAGGAAATTCATAACTACTCCCCCACCCATGACCCCTGCTTTATGCCCAGAGGAAGACAAAAAACCTCCAGGATCCCTGGGCCAAACTGGCCTGGAGGAAAATTCCTTCCTACCCCCAAAGTGGTGATTGGCATTACCCCGGGCATGTAAAAAAGGGCCACAGGAGCCAAGCACTGGCTCATCCCTTCCCACCCTCCCTCTCATGAACTGCCTAAGTTCACAGACTCTGCATTGCTGTCAGAAATTTTTCCTAATGCTTAGCTGAAAACTGTTTTGATTTAATTTCAGTCCATTAGTTCTGGTCCAACCTTCTGGGGCAACAGAAAACAACTCTGCGCCATCCTCTATATGACAGAAACAGAAAACAACGCTGCTGTA